TATGAAAATTAAAATTAGGTTAATTACAACAACATTTTTAGGTTGGAAAAAATTAAGGGATGAAATTTTTTTTTTTTTATTTTTTTGTGTAAATAAATCAAGTTTTGGTTCAAAAAATATTTTTGATATTTTTTGTTGTGATAAGGGTTAAACATGTGTGGATTAAGGATTTAAGGGTGGGGGTTGAAAATTTATTGCTTTTTTTGAGTGGTGGATATTAAGAAAATTGCACAAAATGAAAAAAGATCATAACAATATCAATAACAATAAACGACGTCGTTTTGGAAAGTGTGATGCCGGAGGGGTGGAAAGGAGAAAGACGGGCGGTACGTGCGGGGGTGGGAAATGATCCAGGACCACGTATGGCGAGTTAATAATACACGCGAACTGTTTCCCAAAACTCGCCAAACTCTTGTAACGCACGAAATTTCTCTCAGCTTTAGTTTTTTTCTTTTTTCTTCTTCTTCCAAAGGGGGTTGGTGTCTTTTTTGTCGTCTTTCGGCAATTTTGATGTCTTCTTCTGCTTGATTTACTTCCACTTCCTGACTTTTTGGCAAATTGTCATTTTTGACGCGTTTCCAACATTTTCACTTTTTCACATTTAAAAATCTATCAAAAATATTTTTTTACGTAAAAAAATATAATTAATTAATAAGGAAACAAAGTTGATGAAATTAATTAAATTAAATGAAATTAATGAAAAGTATTAAAATCAACCCTTGAGGGCAATGGTCGTGGCGCCGATATGAAAACGATTTTCAATTTCAACCGCACAATTAATCAACTCCAGTCGCTTTTCTCCGTTAGTGCAGGCGGCGCATGGTTTCTATCCGTGATGGCGCAGGGGGTGGCATTCGGGGGCTGCAGCAAAAAGTTTAATTGTTTCATTCTCGGTGCAATTAATTGCTTGGCTTCTTCGATGTGCTGCAGGGTTTTCTTCTTCGGCAGTCGGGAAGTTTATTTTTCCAAATGGCGTAAAATCTGCTCGCTCACCGCTTTCACCGCCGCCGCACCGCAATCCTCGGGGGCGGCGAGGCGGTGCTGGTTTATAGGAAAATTAATAATAAAACTTTTATTGGCATTCTCGCGTTTAGAAACAGTTTTTAATCGAAAGTTTTTATTGATAAAAAAATAGAAAGATTTAAGAGGTAAATAATAAAGAATTAAAATCAATTTTCACAGTGATTTTTTCTTTTAGGGGATTCTTAGAATATTAGAAGTATAAGAAATTCTGTTTTAAGTTTATTACCACCTGTTGGGGATCTCTGTTTTATCATTTAAAAGCTTTGTGGTCTGTGCGTTATTTGGCTTACTCGTTTGTTACAAATTAGCCAATAATTGGAAAATATCTACTGATATCTCGGCTTTTCCGCCGATATCGCCGCCCCCGGTGTGTCAATTAGCTCTTCTCACCAACCGTTCTTGTTTTCACAAACATTGCAATATTTTTACTACGTTTTGTTTAATAACTGTTTAATAGCTACGATAAGTTTCCTATTTTTTACTTTTTTGTACATTTGAGTAAAATAAAAGAAGTAAAAAATTACAATTAAAGTTTTAGGACATTTTTATAGATATTTTGAAGAATTACAAGTTTGTTGCACATTGTTTTGATCTATTTAATAAGGTTTAAGCAGAGTTTAAAGTATATATGAACAAAAATATGTTTTTTACGACATTGCCTTAGAAATCATTGAAATTCTTGGATTTTCTTAACTATAAAATGCATAATTTATAGATATCCGTCAAGAAATTAAAAAGATATAGGCATAAAAGTGCCAAAAAGCATTTTTATACTATGTTTAAATTAAACGAAGCTTACTGCTTGTTTTTCTCTTCTTGAATTTAGTTTTCTGTCTGAATGAAAAGGTGAAAACGTTTTTCTCCTATCACAAGTATAGAGACTTGAACTTACGAAGGAGCAAAAGAGTTCAAAGGTCGACGTCGGCAGTCGATAAATACGAATCGAGAGTGATCATTACCGCAAACAAAGCGTGCTGCCCGCCGCGAATGAAATGAAGCGAACGCAAACAAATAAACAAGTAAACAAAATTAATTGGATAAAAAAACAACGCAAACATAAAATCTCAGCACAAGAATCTTTACCGCTGCAACCAAATATACACCACATAAATACATTAGGAATATTTGGTTGCCTACATATTGGCGTCTGTGAATTTTACATAAATTACTCAACCCGGAGGTTGCTTACTCTGTGCAGTCGTTAATGCCCTCCACTATTTCGGGTCCTTGCTCGACTCGAAGGCGATGAATAAATAAATCCCCCAGGACGCAGGACCCTTTTCGAGTTGATTTAGTTATGGACTCGCGGACGTGTCGTGTCCCTCCTCACGTCGCTCATTAAGCGCCTTCGACCTAAAACGACCTGCAATCCAGATATAGATCTCCGAATTTAAAATCATACACACAGTGTGTCTGATAATATCCTCACAATACAAAATATTATATTATTTTTTAATTCCGCGAACATATGGTATGTTAGTGTAATGACTGCGGATGAGTACGAGTCAGAACCGGATCCGGAACGGGGAAGTGCGATCCGGAGAAGAATGGATGGCCTCCATCGTTGATTCGGTTGATTATTTCGCTGACAACGGGCTGCCGTGGAAGGGGGGAGCGGCGCTCCGGGGTGACGGCGCGTCAGGCCGGAAAACGAGCGCAATCAGCGCACGTTCCCGCCGTCACTCCGCGACCGGCGGGCGGGCGGGGCGGGGACCTTTTCGCCGCCTCCGACGCCCGGTGTCAATCACACTTTTAGCGCTACGTGCCGTTCGACTAATTAACCATTTATACAAATCGCCTACACAAAATGCTGCCAAATGTCACAGAAAGAAACAAACTAGAACAAAGTTTGATTTTGTTGATTAATTCATTTGCTAAGCATCATTAAATCATTTTTAAGATTTATTGAAAGGAGAAAAAATTAAGTATTTTACTATGAATATATTCATTAAAATTTATCCTAGTACGTGCTTTTGACGTTAACGACGCGATAAATCGCTAGAGTTAAAATGGCGTGCGCAGATGTAGGCAGCACACGTTACGTCTCGATAATGCGTTTAATATCGCTTTGTTTAACGGCGACCGTGCGGCACTCAGCGAAATTAAACGCGAAACCAAATTGATTTCTATTATATACGACTGACTTAGCATCTTCTATTTTGCAAATTGCGGGTATATATCTATAATACACTTGACTTATCTATACTAATCTCTAAAGTTTAAAAAAACGCCATCTAACAGATAATAGCTCAGAATTTTATTTTTTTAAATTAAAATTTTATTTGAACACTTTGTATATTATTCGTGGATTATCTAATATTACATCTGTAAAATTAAAATTAAAAAATTGCGCCATCTAGTGGATGATAGTTAAGAAAAAAATTGAAAAAAGTATTTTTTTACATTTTATTTAATCGCCCTGTATATAATGGAACATAAAAATCTCTAATGATTCATTAATGTTGCCATCCCAGACATTTGCGATTGCTAATTCCAGTTTGTTTGTGTTTTGATATCAATGTCTAGATGGCGCGCACGTAATCTATAAAACCGAAGCGTGCCCTTATCTCGACGACGGACGTCGATAAATTAATAGCGCATTAAAACATTAAAGCACCGTCGCGCCAACCACCACCACCATCAACCCTCTTCGACCTCTGCAGCTACTAAAAACTCCGGCATCGAAACAAAGCATCGCGCCAGCTTCGACGAGATATAACGATTAGAAGTTGGAAGTTTCAAATATAAATTGTTTATCGTTTATAGTCCCATACTATCCTTTATTGTCCTTTACTGTGGTGCCCAGGTGTGCTGTTCACGTTTAATTAATTTATTATTGACGACAGTAAACATTACGCATTTAATTCCGGCCGTAACTCAAACTAAACTGGAAATCAATTTATTTTGTTTATGACTGTAAAGAGTACATGAAACTATTTCAATTAGTATATAAGGGGTGGTTTTCACCCCCCTGTCTAACCCATCACAATTAATTCCTTGGTTTATTGTTGGTAATGAAGATATGATGAAATGCATGAAATTTAACACGTATGTGATGTTCTGAATAGGCAACCAAATATACACCCGAGTGTATAGGTACTGCTGCACCGCAGTTCGAGTGTTTACAATTCGCCAGGAGAAGGGAATGAAGATTATATTGCTTCGAGATAAAGGCACTGCTTTGGTGTCTGTCGTCTGGTCTGGTCGTAGCCACTATGGCCGATTCCTTTCACCAGCGCCATATTGAATCCGGGTGGTACACTAGTTACGCTTTGATTCAAAACCATGGCTTGCTCATTTCGGCTGTGGTCTCGATCTCGACTATCGCGACTGCATTCAGACATATTCGCGCACACCATTCAGCATTGCTTATTTGTGGACTGCAATAAGGGTTGCAATGCAAACCGCCATCCATTCAGCGCACCTATTGTATGACTATGTTGTCATTCACATTAGTACATTAAATTTTATTGTTTTGTTTTAGTTGCGGGCAATTTGGTTGTGTGAAAGTTTAAGGGTTGTTTTGGGGCGCAATTCGAGGGTTAGTTATTAATTTACAAATATTCGTAATTCATTAGTTTAGACATGAGCAAATAATGGCGACCGCAGACCGGATGTAGCGCCATTTTGAATGCACTTGCGTTGCATTACGTTTGTGAGGTAACAATGGAACAATGCGCGTCCGTTCCGGGAAATCTCTTCTCAAGCTTATCAAATATAGGATTTAATTATTAAACATAGGAAAATATTCAATTATTAACGGATTACAATAAATTTCTTCATTTTTTTCAATTTCTGAGTGAAACTAAAATATTTTAATTTAATTTTTCGACTTTTACATTTAAAGTGTCACTTTTCTCACGGCCGTGACTAAAGTACTTTAGTCATGGGTTTTAGTCACGGGGTGGAGCTTAATATTCTATTTTAAAGAGGAAAGGAGAAAAACTACAATTTTTTAATAAAAATTTTTGTTTCAGAAATTTTTCAACATTCACTTCTTGATTCTAAGTTTAGTAATGGTAAGTTTTAATTTTTTTACTGTTTAAACATCCCAATTGCAGCGCCATACAAATTGAGTCATTTCCGGTGTGCTGCCGATTGTACAGATTTCATATATGGAATTACAGTTGGTACATGTTGATATAAATTAAATAAATGTACCCCGAACAGTTGTTTAACGGTCGCGAGCGCGCTGCACTGCCAACTGGGGTTGGTGATATTTGCACAGCGCGCGCACACAAAAGAGCGCCATCGCGATACCGGAAATATGCTCGTATACTGGTATACTCGCGCGCCGAGAGTAACATTAGCCGACAGGAATTATCTAAATTGCGAGATTTAATTAATTAACACACAATGCTGCGCTCACCGCCGCCGCCGCCGTCGAAATAGGGATGAAAACTCTGGTTAATGTTTCAACTACAACTACTCGTACAACAACTTCCGGAATTATCTAGATAAATAAAGTTTTGGTATAAGAATTACATACATAACATACTAGGCGAGTTTGTCAACGTAGTTTTTTAAAGAAAAATTTTATTTATTTATTTTTTGTTTATCACCCTGTATGTGCCGATTTTGTCGATAAAAATTTAAAATTTATTTTTAAATATTAGAGAAATGCAAATAATGCACTTTAGCGCCACCTAGTATTCACTTATTTAACTATAACTATCATAGAATGTCCATATCAACTTTAATCCCCTATTTAACACCCTGTAAGATATAATTTTCAAAATTTTAATAGTTATTCTCATATTCGGGTCTAAAACGAACCCAAAAAATCATAGATCATCAAAATCTGCCCAGTAGTTCTTGAGTTATAAACGTTTTAACTAACAAAATTTCATTTTATATATAAATTTTTATATCTACACAACTAAAACAAAAGATTTACATTATTCAGCCATCTGCGCATTTCCATAGCATAGACCGGTTGCTTGCTTATTGCTTAGTTGCAACTTTAACATCCCTTATACATTGTACATTGTTCCGCTTTCGAAATTCTTCACTCCGCCGCGTGCGGCAAGTGAAAAGCGAACAAAACGTAAAGTACAAAGTGCAGAGTGTAAATTTGCGGCAGGTGTTAAAACTGCCAGCTCGCGCTGTCGGCCGGGCGGCTGGGGGTTGCGAGTTAAAAGTTCAAGACTTTTGTGAGACGTGCCACCCCCTTCTCCCGTTCATGTCGGGGAGAAAGCAATAAAGTTTTAAGTGAATTGATGAAGCAGTTAAGAAAACAATCCGTCGCTCAAAATCTTTCACCTGCGCTGCGCTACCCTTCCAGAAATACTCACCCCGTTTAAATTAAAATTCTAAGCTTATTATACACAACACAATTTAAAAACAAAAAGAAAACAAACAAGGGTTGATTTTTTGTTGATTTTTGTTTGTATTTAAACACAGTGTATATTTTTATCTTTTAGAAGGATAAATGATGATGAGAAATGTGCGCGCAGCGCATTTCATAGACTGAAGCATCGAGTCGGGGCGGCGGCATGATTCAACAGTTTTCTCTTGGTTCAGGGGGTGGGTTTTCTCCGGCGAAAACGTCTGGCGAAACATCCGCGCTCCTAATTAGCCGTTTTGTTTCGACAATCGCTGCAAAATGATCCGCGCCGATTTTCAGCGAGCTTTTCTCGTGGTTTTCCACCGCCGCGCTCATTTGTGAACACAAAGTGCACATTTTCTTACGTTTCTTCTCATGCGCAGCATTTTTACCCCCTCATATACACACACATACACATAGAAAGAAGTAAATGTTGTAGAGAGCAGAGCTTTTGCACATTTTACATTTTCTACCCTAAAACGTCCAACGTGAGCATTTTCATTGTTTTGTATAAATTTACCACCGCAACAATGGCGGCGGCAAGGTATCATTAGCAACCCTTAAAATACTATTCTCTTCAAGAAACTTCAGCCACACACAAAACAATTAATTATTATTATACTCTTACCTTTGTTTGCTTTAAATTTTCACCGCTGACATCTCAACACAAAAGAATAAAGCTGTCTGGTGGTGGGGGTAAGATTGTGCATTATGTGACCATCATAGTCATTCTCATCCTCGTTGTAGTCGGTCAATATTTATCCAGCGTCCCTTCTATTCCAGCGCTTAATATAGAAATAAAGCGCTTGTCCGAGACATAAGTCCTTCCCAAGGATAAAACGCACTATATTTTGTCTTCGGTTTTTCTCGAGTACGGAACGACTGCTGGGGGAGTGGATCTCGCTTCAAAGGAAAATCCCTGCCCGTCGATATATAAATAATTGAGTAAATCTCGTTCATTTTTCGCTGTCCCTTGTCTTCCCGATGTCCGGCCAAGGGAGGCGAGCGTTTTGCGCTTGCATTTGCGGAAATGCGGACATCTTCAACCTCTAAAGCTGAACTTCGGTCGATCGGAAACGAGAAATAAGTCGGTGAGGGATTCGCGACCGATTCATTTCTTCATCCCCTTCAAGGATAACCAAGCATTGGACATGACCATATTTTTATTTCACTGTGGGTGTGTGTGTTGGTGTGTTTCAAATCAAATTTGTTTTCTCTGTTCGAATAAAACGCGTCTAAACATTTGGTCCGAAATTTTTCGGGTAAGGATATAGTCAGGCAACTATGAAAAGTAGTCGATATATTTTCGTAGCCTTCCGCGCCAGTTGTTACCATAACACTAAACTATAATGACGCCTTACGGAAACCGACCCTCCTACATGGGATGCTTACAAGCGTGCGATAAAAATAAACTCGCTATAACTTGCGCTAGGAACACAAACGGCGCGTGGAGGTGACAAGTGTTTTTGGGCCAATAACTACATTTTCCGGAAGAAAATCAAAATTTTTACAGAAAAATAAAAACATCCGGAGAGTAAATTTACTTCACAACATATGTTTAGGTATATAAAATTGAGTTTTGTTAGTTACACCTTTTATAACTCAAGAACTACTGCACAGATTTTGATAATTTATGATTTTTTGGATTTGTTTGGGTCTTAAATAGTAGAATAATTATTAAAAGATCAAAAATGATGGTTTAAAGGGTGTTAAATAAGGGATGAAAGTTGATATCGTAATATAATCACAGATATAGTTATATAGTTCAAACATAGATGGCGCTAAAGTGCATTAATCGCATTTCTTATTGTTTTTCAAATAAAATTTTGAATCTTATTGATGGAATCAACAAATACAAGGTGATATACGAGAGAAAGTAACAATTTATTTCATTTTTACGAAAACTTTATTTAAAAGACTAAATAAATATTTTCCAAACATTTTTTTATTTCTAAATTTTTTGGGGTTTGTAATTTAAAACACGGAATTGTTTATGTGTCATTAGTGGAATGACGCACTTAACTCCGTTATGTGCGGAGTACAAATGTTTTCCTTAATCCTCCTGCGCTGTGTGCGCGGCTTGCCGCCCCCGACACACTCGCCTGATGAACATTACCACCCCTTGCACTTGCTCCCATGTTCTCATTTCCAGCGGTTGCCGGTTGGTTATTTTTCTCGCTTTGCTTTGCATTCATTCCCAAAAGTGCATTACTTGTATTTTGTGTGTGTGGCAAAATATGGATAAATAAAAAGTTTATTTTCTTAAGTGTAGTTTTTCAAGGGTAGTTATTACGCATTATTATTTAATGCGCTTATAGGGTTTGGTTTGCAGCCAAGCGTTAAGGAGGTTTTAGCTTTATAAAAGTTTTTTGTCGGCGCTGGATTTGTGTCTTGTGATTTTTATTTTTTCGAAGAAGAAAAAATACTAGAAATGGTATATTATGTATCAAGTGGCTAAACGAGGGTTTTTGTCACGAGTTTGATTAAAGGCGATTGTAGCGAGTGTTTAATCAATCGAGTGTTTAACAACGTTTAGTCACGTGATTTTCACGCTATTTTTTCTACTTTTACTGAATTCGCACGTTGAAGTTTTTGTCGTAAGGTCCACCCCGTGACTAAACCCCGTGGCTAAAGTACTAAAGTACACTTTTAAAGGTGAAAGGTAAAAAAATATTTTTTCTTCTTTTTTAATTAAAAAACGATGTAATTTTACTTTCTCAGGAATTTCTTGCCCTTGACTAAAAATTCATCCTTCCATAAATAATTTATAATGTTAAATATTTAGAATACCTACGCATTAAAGTATAAATTGGATAATTAAACGAAGAAAACCAACCATCTGCGGCCCACGTTCAGCGCGTGTACTCCCCTTGGCCCTTTCCTTGTCCCTGTTGTACCTTCTCGGCATCCCTCTTCGTTCCCTGCATTTTATTATCGAATAAATGTGAGCAATGCGCAAACGTAAGACGGACGCAGATTTGTTCTCGAATTTTTGTGCGGGCGCTGTTCGCGTCATGGCGACGGGAAGTAATGAACGCTTAATGTTTAAGCGAGGAGAGAAATGAACGTTGTCATATTGTGTAATGAGTTTCGCCGACTTGAATGCGCGCCGGGCGACGTTCGGATGGAATTCCGCGAATTGATGTAGCGCGGAAAAACGCGCCGAGGCTGAAAAAGGACCGCCGCGACGTCTTCTCGAAGCACCTAACTCCGAATGATAACAATAAATGAAATGAATATACTTTTTCTCGTTTAGCTTCGGACAGTTTTGCCGCTTCGTACATTATACAATTTTTATATTATACAGTGTGTTTAAATATTTTTTACAAAAAAAAAACAAAAAATTAAAATTTTTATTTTAAAATGATTTTAAATTACTTAATAACATACTGTATATAATTATATTTTTATTTTTTGTATTTTATTCTATGTGTGAATGTGAGAGTGGTCCTTTTTGGAGTTCAGGACGAGGACATTTGCTTGCGTAGAGAGAAAGAAAACGTAGAAAGTGGAAACTTGTCTCTCCAGGACGACGCCATAACGATAATCATAATAAAAGCGCACTGCAAGACGCCGGAAAAATACAACGCGGCGACGAACATGTGAGAAATGGCCGTGCTGGTCGTCCTGGACGAGCAAAAAACGGCGAAACATAAACGCGCAACGTCGTGCCGACAAAAATCCGAGAGCGTT